CATCAGCCAGCTACAGCGTCCCCCTCCTCCTGGTGTATGACACTCACTCCCGGGGCGGTCACACCTACTGTTACTTCTCCACCAGCGTGCGGTCTGAGCACTACTTCCTGGCTACCTTCGTGGTGTGGTACGCCCTGCCCCTGCTCACCATGACCGCCATGTACTCCAAGGTCGCCGCCACACTGTGGAGGAGCAGCAGGCACGCGCGGATGTTGGGCTATGGGAGGCGGGCTGCCCCAGGCCCCGGGGACCGGCCATGTGTCCGCGCGCGGAACGTCAGAACCCCCGGACATGACAGGTCACGTGATAGAACAGCCTCGTCCAAACTGGCAAAGGGTTGCCATGGTGACGGCGACAACAGCCGGGACATGTCGGGAGAGAGAGTGGCCACGCCCACTTTGGACAGGGAGCTGCAGGGGAACTCGTCAGTGTCTTCTTACCTGTCGGAGGAGGCGCTCATGTTTGGGGACAGTCTGGATTGTTTAGAGTTGAGAGATAGACTAGAGATGAGAGATAGACTACAGAGAGACAGCCTAGAGTTGAGAGACAGCCTAGAGCTGAGGGAAATTGTCCCCCTCCACGCGCTGACCCCAGGTCCTGACGTCACTCTGTCGGCCACCACCACTTCCGGCCGACACAGCAGACGGTCACGTCGCCACGTGAGGCAGGGAGAGACTCCCAGAGGCGACACGCTCACCCCCGACACGAGCACCCACGTCACGTGCCAGTACCGCGTCACGTCAGAGCGCACGTCACGTCGACACGTGGTCCGGCTGTTGCTGGTGGTGCTGTCCACGTTCGCCGTGTTGGTGCTGCCCCACCACGTGCAGCACCTGCTGCTGTACGCCCACGTCCGCGTGGCACCGGGCCGCTTCACGCCGCTGTTCCCCGTCCTGGCCAACCTGATGCTGTACCTCAACTCCGCCATCAACCCCGTCCTCTATAGCCTGCTCTCCCGGAGCTTCCGACACAGTCTGCGCGAGTCTCTGGCCTGTTGTTGGCGGGGACACGGCGCACACACTCGCACGCCCGCCCAACACACACACCGACACACACAAACAGACACACACAGACACACACAAACAGACACACACTTGTCCACACCCGCCCGACACAGGGCAGAGACCACGTCCAGTTCACGGAAAACTACCTTCTCCTTCTGAACACACAGACAGACAGACTGAAAGACAGACAGACAAACACACACACACAGACAGACAGACAAACACACATACACAAACACACACACGCACATAAAACCCCAAAGAAAAACACTCCCAATAAGTTCTTTAAAAAACCAAAAAAAACCAACAACAATACAACGCAAACACAAGCAATTGCACAAAAGGAAACAACCAACCAACCAACCAACAAACCAACAAACAAATCAACCAACAAACAAACAAA